CATTCCGAGGCTTCATTTTGTTTTTTTTTCTCCATTTCTGGGTAATTGTGTTCTCTTTTGATAGGTAGGTATAATTGTTTACCTAAAAGTGTTTAAACTCAGGCGTGGAAGAGAGACAAAAACCACGCCTGGATGAACAGGAGGTGTGCTGGCCGTACTGACTTTCCTTCGGTGTTAATAACAGTAGCTCAACCACTTGGTCGAGGCCAGACGTTGCGTTGCTGCTGTACCGTCTACTTAGTTAATATTAACCTTATATTAGTTATTATTATTTTATTATTATTAATTATTATTATTATTATTATTATTATTATTAATATTATATTATAAATATTATTATTATTATTATTATATTATTAATTATTATATAGATATATTATATTATATTATTATTATTATATTATTATTATTATTATTATATTATATATTATTATTATTATTATTATATTATATTATTATTATATTATTATTATTATTATATTATTATTATATTATTAATTGTTATTATGTATTATTATTATTATTCTTGTTTTGTATTATTTCTTCTTTTGTTATGTTATTATTTTTATTATTGTTCTTATTATTATTGTTCTTCTTATTATTATTATTCTTATTCTTCTTATTATTTTATTATTATTTCTTATATATTCTTCTTATTCTTATTATTATTATTATTCTATTCTCTTTTTTTTTCACGCTCCACGGAACCGTTTTATCTCTTCGTCGCGGATCTTTATATGGCACGGTTGGACCTCTACCCCGGGGTCCTCGCCGAGGCCCTGAGGGGTACAGATCTTTGTAGGTTCTTCTGACTGGTTATGTTATAACTTTCCTAATTATGTGCGATGGTGCCTACTAAGGGCGATCTTCTGTAAACTGATAGAAATTTGATCTCCTGTATCCTTTTTAGGTTATCTAGGATGTTGCGAGTGACATATCCAGTTGCACCCACTCACTACGGGAAATAACAACTGCCCTTTGTATGCCACATTCTTTGCACTTCTATGAGTAAGATTTGTATTTTAGTTGCTTTTCAGCCTCCTTTTGTTGACATGTCTATCTGCAGGTACCGATATATCAATTATATAGCATATTTCGGTGGTTTTTATAACAATATCTGGTCTGTTTTGCTTTTATTTCTCTATCCGTGATTAACGGGATGGTCTACATTATTGTGATACTACCATCTTCACTTCGTGTTATTCTGTCGGGGTGATGCTCATACCATTTCGTCGATTTTATTGGACAACCAAGGTGGCGAGACACTTCTAGATGGATGGCTGCGCAGACATTATTGTGCCTGTCAGTATATTCTTTTGGCGCTAGTATTGGACATGCAGATATTATATGTTCAACAGTTTCATTGTGAATGTGACACAATCTGCATTTACCGTCATTCCTCGTCTTGTGTATTGCTTGCTCAATGTAACGCGTTTTCAAGGCTTGGTCTTGTGCTGCCACCAGCAAGCTTTCGGTTCCCCTTTTAAATCTCCGTATTGTAACCATCCAAATGACAGTCTTAAGTCAACCGGAAGCTCCTCCATTTGACGGATATGCTGTCCGTGTAGAGGCTTACTCCGCCATTTCTCTCGACACATTGCTTCAAGTACAGTTTGATGGACCTGTTACCTCGCTCGACCGTATGTCCGGCTTCCGCAGCTTCTAATTTGATCTTATTACTACGCTTTACAATAGATCTATTTGTTGGTTTCCTATTGTCATGTGCTAGTAACATCTGTAGTAGGCGGTCTTGCTCAGATCTGGTTTGAATATACTGCCCTACTGAGAAGATAGTATTGTTGTACGTTTCTTCTATTTGCTTTAGTCCTCGTCCCCCTTTCTTTCGTGGCACGTATAATCTGTCGATGTCTGCTTTGGGATGAAGGATGTTATGTGTTTGTCATTAGTTTTCTTGTTTTGCGATCCATTTGTCTTATGTCATCCAATGTCCAATTGATTATACCAAAGCTGTACTGCATGATTGGTATGGCAAGAGCTCCAATTGCTGTTATCTTGTTTCTAGACGTGAGTTGAGTTTGCAGAATTTTACGTACTCTCGTTATATACTCATGTCTAATATCAACTTTCAGTGAATCGTGGGTGATGTGTGGGCCTTCTTTAATTCCCAGGTACTTGTACACTCCGCCATGTTCTAGTGATTTGATCGTCTGTCCTTCATCAACTATTATATTAGCAGAGTCATAATGCATTCCTCTCCTGAAAGTGACTACAGCGCACTTATCGAGACCGAAGCTCATCTGTATGTCGTCGCTAAATTTTTTTACAATATTGAGAGACGTTTTCAGTTTGTTTTGGCTGGGAGATATGAGCTTCAGGTCATCCATATATAGCAAATGGGAGAGACAATCATTTGCTCCTTTAAGTTGGTAACCTAGGTTGCCCTCGTTGAGCAGCGTACTTAAAGGAACCATCGCAATCACAAACAGAAGAGGTGACAAGGTATCACCTTGATATATACCTCTTTTTATCTGTATGGGTCCTAACTCTATTTCTTCCCCATTATTACTGACTAACAGGGTAGTACTCCATAGCGAAATCAATCGCTTACATAGATCAATGATCTTCTCAGATGTTCCTATAAGCTTTCAGAGATTTCAGGAGCCAGCTGTGCGGGACGCTGTCGAATGCCTTTCTATAATCAATCCATCCAATGCTAAGATTTTTTTTGTTCTCTTTACAATCTTCTACAATGGCTTTCGAGAGGAGTAGCTGATCCTTGCAACCAAAAGAGCCCTTGCCACAGCCTTTTTGTTCAGTTGGTATTATCTTATTATCATTTACATAATCAGATATTCTGCTGGCTACTACCTTAGTTAACAATTTGTACAAGGTGTTCAGACAGGTGGATAGGCCTGTAATTTTTGGGGTCCTTACTAGCTCCAGACTTTGGAAGAAGGTAGGTTTTTAACCCTTTGGGCAGCCAGTTCGGGATATCTGTTCCGTTATCGAAGTAACTATATATATCATTGTTATTGTTTCGTGTGTAGACACTAGATGTTTCAGCCAGAAATTAGGTATCTGGTCTATAACCAGGGGCTTTCCAATTTTGGGCCTGCTGCAGTGCTGATCTGACTTCCACGACACTGATATTTTTGCCAGCTCATAGTTGTGGCTTCTATCCCTTTCTACCTTTTTCAGCCACTTTGCGTTCTCGTTGTGGTTAACACTTTTCTCGAAAATACTTTTCCAATACGTTTCAGTTGTAGAGATGGTTGAGCTTCAATAGGTTCCCTTTTTCCTTCTCGCAGCTCCCTATAAAATGCTTTGGGATTGACATTAAAGAGACTATTTTGTTTGTGCTGCTCTTGTCGATTCTTGTACCTTCTGAGTCTTTGAGCAGTGGCCGAGATTTGTTGTTTCATTACCTCTATCTTCTCTATTAGCGTTTTTTCCTTCTGTGACGTATTGTTTAACATCATCTTCCCTTAGAGCCGACTCTGCGGACAGCCTGCCAGTTTGTATGTGAACTAAATTCGATAAGTCTCTCCTGAGGCTCAAACTTTATTACTTAGGCCGCTTCTGCCAGTTAGGTGTTTGCTTTGGGGGTCCCAGCTATTCTTCTTCGCGCTGTCGGTTTTACTAATTTTGACGTAATCACATATGCTGTAGCATAAATGAGGCAATCTATCTTTATTAGGTCTTCTGACCCATTGTTTGCAATATGTTGCTAACTATGCAGTTGCCTTCCTCGATGAGTCGCTTTGCTCTTTTACTAGTAGTATATTCTGGGCAGACAGTTACGTTCAGATATGCTTTTTTCAATCAGGCTTAAATATTTGTCCTTTATTTCTTTGTGCATGTCAGATTCTTCAACATTGTTCTTCCGGTACCTGTGCGACATCGTGATGGTCTACTGTCTTTTCTCTATCGATCGTTTCTTTAATGCTTTCAATCAGTTCATTTATGATTTCTTCTGATAATCTTTTATTCTGTTGGATGTACCTTCTTTGGTTTGCAGTTTGTTTGCATCGATGTTAAGTCTGGAGTCTGGGTTGCGCCTTCTCCACATCTTATAGACTGCAAACATAGGTATTCCTATCAGTAAGCCTACAGTAATGATAACACCACATCACTTCTCTCAGCTCTTCTTCACTCCAGGGTATTCTTTTACCCCTGGTCTTTTCGGCTGAGATACTTGTTTCCAGTACTTCGAGTAGTCCACTTTGAGTTTCCTCCGTGTGGTGACTATCACGAAGTTGCGGTGTATCATCCCTTCTCTTGTCCAGGACTTGCCTCTGTGTGGAATCCTTTCGCGAGGCAGTGCCACACAATCCACTGGGCCCCGCTACAGGCTCATCTTCCTGACGCTTCCGAAGGGTAGGAGCCCTCACTACACCTGCGCCCTGTTTAACCACTATTATTATTATTATTATTATTATTATTATTATTATTATTATATTATTATTATTATTATATTATTATTATTATTATTATTATTATTATTATTATTATTATTTATTATTATTATTATTATTCTTATTATTATTATTATTATTATATTATTATTATTATTATATTATTATTATTATTATTATTATTTTATTATATTATTATTATTATTATTATTATTATTATATTATTATTATTATATATTATTATTATCTTATTATTATTATTATTATTATATTTATTATTATTATTATTATTATTATTATTATTATATTATATTATTATTATTATTATTATTATTATTATTATTATTATTATTATTATTATTATTATTTTTTAAATAGCCGTAGGGCTTTGTTACTCTCCCGTTAATCGGGGTGTTCTGGCTTAACCCGGACGCTTCAAGCATCAAAGGGGTAAGCCTCAATAGTGACCTCCCTAGGTACTTGCATTTCCCATAAATTTTCTTACTATGCGGGCAGTTGCCAGCAAACTCCTTTCTGTATGATTTTGTAAATGTTTTCACTCAGTTCCAGCGCTTTGATGTGTTTCTAGCAGCCTTCTTGGTATCACCCCTGTAGATGACATTATTATTGGTATTGTTTCCACGTACTTATTTTCCACTGGCGTTTAATTTGAAATTCTAGCTCCCTGTATTTTGCAACTTTCTCATTATGTTTGTATGTTAAATTGTTACTATTAGGTATGGCCACATCAATCAGTGTTACTTTCTGGGCGTCCTTGTCGACAATGATTATGTCAGGTCTGTTTTGTTTTACGTATTGGTCCGTAAGCACAGTGCGATCCCAGTATAGTTTATACTTGTCGTTCTCGAGGACACATTGCGGTGTATATTTGTAGTACTGTAGCTTGCATTCGATCAGTTTGAATTTGTATGCCAACTCCTGGTGAATGATTTTGGCAGCTATGTCGTGGCGCTCCTTATAGTCCGTTGGAGCGAATGCTTGGCATCCACCAGTTACGTGCTGTATTGTTTCGGAGTCCTGACAGCCGTACCTGCATTTATCAGACTGTTGCAAGTTCTTAAGTATGAACCTCTTGTAATTGTTGGTAGGAATGACCTGGTCCTGTATAGCTACAAGGAATCCCTCAGTCTCAGGGAACATTTGGCCTGAGGTAAGCCAATAGTTTGACGCTTTCTTGTCAACGTTTTCTTGGCTAATCTCGTTGGCATGTCTCCCATGTAGAGGTTTTCAATCCATCGTTGTAGCTTCTGTTCGTTGGTTTGGTGACTCGGTTGGTCATCTCGTCTATTAAGGTGTAAGGGCGTTGTGTCATCTATTGAGCATATGATGCGATGCAGCTCAGAGATCTCGGCCTTCTCAAAGAAGTAGGATCGCAAGGCGAGTACCTGTTGAGCTAGCTGCTTGCTGATGTCCATTAGACCTCTTCCTCCTAACTGTCGGGGTAAGGTTGTGCGCTCTATTGCACTGCGAGGATGGTGCGCTCCTTTTTTTGTTAGCATAGTCCTTACCCGCCTCTCTAGTTTCTCGATGTCAGTTTTACTCCACAGAACTATAACCGAACGAGTAGTTCAAGGCAGAGCATGCGTAGGTGTTAATCGCCTTGACTAGATTCTTACTATTGAGTTCTGTTTTCAGAAGTAGCCGTATTCTTTTTGTGAAGGTCTGCGATATAGCTTCCTTCATTTTTTATGGTCTATCCTTCGGGCCTGCGCCATTCCAAGGTACTTGTATGTGTCATTTGCGTCCATTGCGTCAATGTTTTGGCCTCTGCAGCTGAAAATCCTCCAGGGTAGATGTTCCCCTACGTATAGATAAGGTTTTGCATTTATCCATCCCAAATCGCATACTTATGTCATCTGAGAACTGACCGACTATCTCTAGCAGCTGTTTTCATTTGATTCTCAGTAGCAGCTATTACCTTTAGGTCGTCCATATCAGCAAGTGGTTCAGTTTTATGGATGCGTTCCTGTTATCTTTCAGACTATATCCATACCCTGTTGCATTTAAGAGGTTTGAGAGGGGATTTATAGCTAGGCAAAACCAAGGGGACTTAATGAATCACCCTGAAAGACCTCTTCGGATAGAGATCGTCTCAGTTTGAATGGTGCTGGTCCCGTTTGTATGCAGTGTTATTCTGGTTCTCCAGGTCTTCAGCATATGTTCTAATAGGGCCACTACATGCTCATCTACCTTATAGAGCCTCAGCACCCTGACAAGCCACTCATGAGGTACAGAATCGTATGCCTTCTGATAGTCGATGTACGTAATGTATAGGTTTCCTTTTGTTGGTATAGGCTTGGTTACAGATGACTGAGTCGATAGCCAGCTGTTCTTGCATCCCATAGCTCCCTTAGCACAGCCTTTTTGTTGTGGCGCAATAATATCGTTTTCTTCACAATGAGCAAAATTCGCTTCGATATACAAGCAGTGACCACCTTGTATAGCGTAGGAAGGCAGGTAATTGGGCGGTATTTTGCTGGGTCTTCTGTATTATTGTGATCTTTTGGTATTAATACCGTTAGCCCTGTGTTAGGAACGTTGGAGTCTTATTTGGATTCAAAGCATGTCATTGATAATCTTGTTAGTTGTTCATGCATGCACCAAGCTTCTTTATCCAGTAGCCATGAATCTGGTCTGGGCCCGGGGCCTTCCAATTATGCAACTGCTTAACGATATCCACGATTTCTTGTTTGGTATAGCCCTATACTGCATGGGATTGCAATAATGGCTCTTCGCTTCTTCATCTGTAATCCATCCTGCACACTTGTTGTAATAAGCTGTCGAGCCAACTGCTTGCCCCAAAATTCCTCTACTTGGTCCTTTGTGGGCACCGTTTTGCTCTTTTCCTGGGGTTCGGATGACAGTTTCCTGTAGAATGCCTTTTCGGATCGTTGAAAGAGCGCATTGTCGTGCTTTCTGTGACTGGACGCTATACCATTTCAATCGCTGAGTATATACGGACAGTTTTTGCTTCAAGGTATCAAGGCATTGCCACTCGTTGATGTTAGTTGCGTCTTGGTGAGAATGATGGTGGAGTCGTTGCATTATTTCCATAGCTTGCTTTCGGACTTTTCGAGTTGTTATTCCTCGTGTGAATTGGGTAAGACGTCCGATATCTCTGCGAATTTCTGCCGTTCTTCTTTCCAGACGTTTTTCCCATTTTGGTGTTATTGGTTTTACTGAATTTTCAGTAATCTTTTGAGTTGGCATTTTGACACCAAGTGTTCTTACTGTTGCAACAGCTGCACAGTATATCAGTGTGTGAAGTTGTTCTATACAGTTGGAGTGTGCTAGATACTCTGGCAGGATCTGTTTATTTAACTGACACAATACCACAGCAAGCTTTCTAGATGACTTCAACTTTGGTAATGGTGGTCTTTCTAGCGGGTTCGTTCCATCAAATTCGGCATATGCTCTACCCATTTCAGTTATTAATATACCAAATATTTCTGTGTCTTGATCATTACTGTCGTCAACTCCAGGCTGTTCACTTTCTATCTGTTCTTGCTCAGATTATTATTATAATTATTGTTATTATATTATTATTATTATTATATTATTAGCATTATAATTATTATATATTATTATACAATTATCAATTATTATTATTATTATTATTAATTATAATTATTATTAAATTATTATTATTTTATCAATTATATTATTATTATTATTATTATTATATTATTATTTTTATTTTTTTAATTATTATTTTATTATTTATTATTTATTATTATTATATTTTTTATAGCCGTAGGGCTTTGTTACTCCCGTTAATCGGGGTGTTCTGGCTTAACCCGGACGCTTCAAGCATCAAAGGGGTAAGCCTCAATAGTGACCTCCCTAGGTACTTGCATTTCCCATAAATTTTCTTACTATGCGGGCAGTTGCCAGCAAAACTCCTTTCTGTATGATTTTGTAAATGTTTTCACTCAGTTCCAGCGCTTTGATGTTTTCTAGCAGCCTTCTTGGTATCACCCCTGTAGATGACATTATTATTGGTATTGTTTCCACGTACTTCATTTTCCACTGGCGTTTAATTTGAAATTCTAGCTCCCTGTATTTTGCAACTTTCTCATTATGTTTGTATGTTAAATTGTTACTATTAGGTATGGCCACATCAATCAGTGTTACTTTCTGGGCGTCCTTGTCGACAATGATTATGTCAGGTCTGTTTTGTTTTATGTATTGGTCCGTAAGCACAGTGCGATCCCAGTATAGTTTATACTTGTCGTTCTCGAGGACACATTGCGGTGTATATTTGTAGTACTGTAGCTTGCATTCGATCAGTTTGAATTTGTATGCCAACTCCTGGTGAATGATTTTGGCAGCTATGTCGTGGCGCTCCTTATAGTCCGTTGGAGCGAATGCTTGGCATCCACCAGTTACGTGCTGTATTGTTTCGGAGTCCTGACAGCCGTACCTGCATTTATCAGACTGTTGCAAGTTCTTAAGTATGAACCTCTTGTAATTGTTGGTAGGAATGACCTGGTCCTGTATAGCTACAAGGAATCCCTCAGTCTCAGGGAACATTTGGCCTGAGGTAAGCCAATAGTTTGACGCTTTCTTGTCAACGTTTTCTTGGCTAATCTCGTTGGCATGTCTCCCATGTAGAGGTTTTTCAATCCATCGTTGTAGCTTCTGTTCGTTGGTTTGGTGACTCGGTTGGTCATCTCGTCTACTAAGGTGTAAGGGCGTTGTGTCATCTATTGAGCATATGATGCGATGCAGCTCAGAGATCTCGGCCTTCTCAAAGAAGTAGGATCGCAAGGCGAGTACCTGTTGAGCTAGCTGCTTGCTGATGTCCATTAGACCTCTTCCTCCTAACTGTCGGGGTAAGGTTGTGCGCTCTATTGCACTGCGAGGATGGTGCGCTCCTTTTTTTGTTAGCATAGTCCTTACCCGCCTCTCTAGTTTCTCGATGTCAGTTTTACTCCACAGAACTATACCGAACGAGTAGTTCAAGGCAGAGCATGCGTAGGTGTTAATCGCCTTGACTAGATTCTTACTATTGAGTTCTGTTTTCAGAAGTAGCCGTATTCTTTTTGTGAAGGTCTGCGATATAGCTTCCTTCATTTTTTTATGGTCTATCCTTCGGGCCTGCGCCATTCCAAGGTACTTGTATGTGTCATTTGCGTCCATTGCGTCAATGTTTTGGCCTCTGCAGCTTGAAAATCCTCCAGGGTAGATGTTCCCCCTACGTATAGATAAGGTTTTGCATTTATCCATCCCAAATCGCATACTTATGTCATCTGAGAACTGACCGACTATCTCTAGCAGCTGTTTCATTTGATTCTCAGTAGCAGCTATTACCTTTAGGTCGTCCATATACAGCAAGTGGTTCAGTTTTATGGATGCGTTCCTGTTATCTTTCAGACTATATCCATACCCTGTTGCATTTAAGAGGTTTGAGAGGGGATTTATAGCTAGGCAAAACCATAGGGGACTTAATGAATCACCCTGAAAGAGACCTCTTCGGATAGAGATCGTCTCAGTTTGAATGGTGCTGGTCCCGTTTGTATGCAGTGTTATTCTGGTTCTCCAGGTCTTCAGCATATGTTCTAATAGGGCCACTACATGCTCATCTACCTTATAGAGCCTCAGCACCCTGACAAGCCACTCATGAGGTACAGAATCGTATGCCTTCTGATAGTCGATGTACGTAATGTATAGGTTCCTTTTGTTGGTATAGGCTTGGTTACAGATGACTGAATCGATAGCCAGCTGTTCTTTGCATCCCATAGCTCCCTTAGCACAGCCTTTTTGTTGTGGCGCAATAATATCGTTTTCTTCACAATGAGCATAAATTCGCTTCGATATACAAGCAGTGACCACCTTGTATAGCGTAGGAAGGCAGGTAATTGGGCGGTATTTTGCTGGGTCTTCTGTATTATTGTGATCTTTTGGTATTAATACCGTTAGCCCTTGTGTTAGGAACGTTGGAGTCTTATTTGGATTCAAAAGCATGTCATTGATATATCTTGTTAGTTGTTCATGCATGCACCAAAGCTTCTTTATCCAGTAGCCATGAATCTGGTCTGGGCCCGGGGCCTTCCAATTATGCAACTGCTTAACGATATCCACGATTTCTTGTTTGGTATATGCCCTATACTGCATGGGATTGCAATAATGGCTCTTCG